CAAGGACGATATTGTAAACTAACCTTAAACACAATGACGACTAAAGCCTGTTTTGCTCTTTTGACACCAGAAGACTTTATTGTTGTGAATGGTAAAAAATACTCCTTTGAAGATACTTACTCAGATATACCACCAACAGGTTTTGTTGACTTATTTAATACTTTAAGTACGGGTGTAACATGTGCTGCAACTAGAGCAGGTTTCATTATGTTTGGATGTCCGACTGAGTTTACTATAAACGATATGAGCTATAATACAAAACTTATTCTGGTTTTACTACCAACAGTTTCCTATAACAGGAAAAGGTGTCATACAAGGAATGTCTATTCCATTGACATTAAGCACACCAATCTTATATATTGTTTCAAACTTAGGTTCAAAGTGTTATTCGAATGTCGACAGAAACTATTATGACCAAAAAGATACTTATGCGTATAAACAATACTTTCTCTGCTGGTTTGCCTATTGTTCATTCGAATGCAGAATTTTCAACCTTAGTGAACTCAAACACTTTGGCAAGTATAACGTTGACATTAGTTGACGCAAACTTTGTTCCTGTAAAACTTTTATGTCCTATGTATTTGTCAATGACGGCAGAAAGTTTCGAATTGGAAGATGCAACTGGTGAAAGTATTGTATTACAAGAACAACTTCAACAACAAATAGCTCAAGAACAACAAATGCAACAAATGGAACAACAAAGTCAAGAATAAAAAAATATTATTTTTTTATTTTTATAAAAATGTACAGAATAGATGTTTCAGATTTTTATGACTTCCAAGCATTCAGAAATATGTGTCCATTTAGAGGACTATAACAAAGCAGTCGAGAATTTGAAACGTTTAGTCATTTATGTTGACTCTGCCCAGAATGTTATGTCATGAAAGAATGGGATGTTGTCTTTAACAAACCAAGAGCAACAATAGTGTCTGAACAAGAATGTAGACAGAAACTTAAGAAAATAAAAGTCGTACAAGTTGGCATGAAGATGTTAGATGCTTGGATATCTATTGTCAAAGTTAGAAGATTTTTCAGTTCGAGGTATAAAGTTCTATACACCTTCTCCAAACTTCTATTCTATCTTCACTGGATATAAATATGAACAAGTAGAATGGAAAGAAAATATTATAGAAGCTTGGTTAGACCATGTCAAAGAAATTATATGCAATGGAAACGAAAGAGTCTATGAGTATATCTTATGTTGGTTTGCAAATATCTCTTACAACATCCAAGTGCTAAAAATGAAACTGCTCTCATTATAATTGGAAAACAAGGAAACAGGTAAGAACACATTCTTTACAGATATCTTATGCAAACTGTTAGAAGGTTATTCGAATCCGAATATGACAAACTTAGAAAACATCTGTGGCAAGTTAACTCCTCAATAGAGAATATGAAACTTATAGTTTGCAATGAACTTCAAAGTATAGATACAACAAAAGTTTTGAACTCAGATGCTTTGAAGAGTCTTATAACAGACAAAGTTGGAGTTGTTGAAAGAAAGATAAAGACCAAAGAGTTTGTGAAAATGTTGCAAACTTCATTATGGTTTCAAACAATGCTGTTCCGATGAAGTTAGAAAGTTCTGACAGAAGATATGTAGTTGTCAGAACGTCAGAAGCTCATATGCAAGATACAGAATATTTTGACGATTAGCAGAAACTTTGACATCTGATTTTACAAACCACTTGTTCTCATATTTCATGACATTAGATATTTCTAAGTTCAATCCAAGACAAATTCCACATACCGAAGAGAGACAAACATTGTTAGAAGCAAACAAGAGTGTATATGAACTGTTCATAGAAGAAAGCGACTTTGTGTCATTAGATGAAAGGTCTTTATATGATTCGTATAAACAATATTGTCAAGAATATGGTTATATGGCAGCTTCTAAACGAACATTCTTGGCAAATGTCAAAAGTCTTTTAGATGTTCAGAATGGTGTATATACAAAGAAAAATTTTTCTGAGTAAATTTTAAAAAAAAATATTTTTTTATCCGATAGAAAAGATGACGAAATTCATCTCAGTAAACAAGTACATGTCAGGACTTAAAGAAGAACTAGACCCATTCACATATTTGAATGTTTACTTCTACCATTTTGAAAAGTCTTCATTCAGCAAAGTTTGGAACATCGAACCAGTTAAGTTTGCTATTGTGACTAAAAATGGTGCGAAATTTGAAGACTTATATATAGAAGGTTTGTTAACAGTCAAAGAAAGTTTTGACAGAAAGTTCTCAAAACTCGAAGAAGGTAAAGCATACAAACTTGTTATACCTTATGAACCAAAGAAAGCAGACGACTATGAATATTATGAGTCTAAGATAGTTGAAGTTCAAGGTAAATTGGGTAAAAAGATTTTAGAGTCTAAGCCAGTGTTTACTCCTAAAGAGGAAGAGAACATTGACATTGACCCAGAAATGTTCTAAAAATAAAATTTTATTTTTACATGTCAAATTTCTTTTTCTCTGGAACTGGTTCAGGTTCTTTCTTCTCTTCTACTTTCTTTTCTTTCTTTTCTCTCTTCTTCTTTTCTGGTGGAGTTATGTCAAATTTGGCGCAACTATATTTCTGTAAAAGTTCTTTGTCCTTTAATAGCTCATCTATTCTGTTTTCTATTTCATCTTCAAGAACAGCGCATGTGTCTTCTTAGTTAGTATACAAGTCTTGGGTATGGTGGCACTGCGTTCCACCTTACCCAATACTTGTGAATTTGACACTTTACAAAACAGTTAACGTATATTTTACAACATGAACGCAAAAACCAACTTAACCTTAAATATTTACAAAGCCGCCAACAATTTCACCTCACTATCGTTCTCACTAACAACTTCACTAATGTTCTCATAAATTTTCCTCAATATCTTCATCATCAGTGTTAACCCTATTGTAGTCATACTTGAAGCCATAAACTTTCTCTAACTTCTTAACGTACAATTTACATAACTTACCTTCGTCATCGTATGGTTTAATGATATAACTATTTCTATCTTTATAAACAGTCAATGAAAAGTCAACTGGTCTCGGATGTATTTGAAAGAACATGTTATGCTCAGGAAGGAAGAATAAATGTTTAAATGTATGTTTGTTATATGTTTTGATTTGTATGAGTTGCTGTTGTTCTGTCATTACATCCAAATAAAATAAAAATAATTTTAAAAAATAAAATAAAAAATAAATGATATCACCACCCTCACACGTATGAAAACATAGCACAAAAATAAATTTAGGTGAAGTGGTGAGATCTAACCCGATTTTAACCTTTCTAACCTTTTCTACCCTGTTGAATTCATTGCTTTATTCTCACTGTCTTCTTTCTCCAACTCTTCTAACTTCTTCTTAAGTTCAGCAATGTTGTCCTCATGAAGTTTAATCTTTCTCAAAATTCCTTCTTTATCTAATGGTTGCTTTATCTTTCTAAACTGAACTCTACCATCCTTCATAGTATGAATGTAAAAACCTTCTGGAATAGTTCCTGATTTAATGTATTCTACCAAAAACTTTTGTTTCATTGCTTCAGTGACTTTAGTCGTCATTTCAATCAAATAAAAATTTTAATATTAAATAAAAATAACGTTATTTTTTCAGTAAGGAAACGCAGGAGTTTTACGATTTATTTGTGGTGTAGGTTCTGGTTTAAATGTTGGAGTCGGTTTTGGAGTTGACTTTTGAACAGGAGTTTGTAATTCCATAGGTTCAGGAGTCATTGAAGGTGTTGTTTGTGAAGGCGTTGGTTTTGGCGATGGTGTCGGAGTTTGTTTAACTTCAGCTACTTCAGTATTATTTACAACATTTGCTTTATTTCTTTTCAACATCATTACTGCTCCTGCTGTAGCTAGCAAACCTAGTGGGAGACCATATTTTATATAAGGACTTGACCAAATGCTATTTTTGACAGGAGCTGGTGGAACACCTAACCTTGGTGAGACTGCTCTTTGCCATTGTGCAGCTCGTAAGAAATATTCAATAGGTGCTCCATAATCGTTTGGTAAAGTTTGTTTCATAGATGGTGAAGGTTCACGAGAGCTTGATGAAGAACTCATTTATAAGCTTTAAAAATAAACGTTCATCCTTTATTCCTCACTGTCGTCCGTTGCTAAGTTATAGTCGTCAATCTTATTATTGGTATGCCTGACGCACTGATGGCAAAGCAACAATCCCTCATAAATCCAATAAGTGGCTTTGGTACGTTTTCAGTTGCTAGTTCAATAGGTCCTTTAACAGACAATTTGTATGTTATTGGAGCAGTAGATGTTTGACCTTGCTGGAAGCAAAAGTCCACTTCTGTTGGAAAACCACATAAGAAATGTGTGTTGTCATAGCTATCCCATTTATGTTCCACACTACCATCATCCACCAATGACCTCATAACATCTTCATTAAATCCAATCATATCATTGTTTGTATTGCAAGCGTTCGCAACCATTTCATAAAATACAGGTCCATATGATTTTTCAGGTTCTGCAGGCATATTTCCATAAGCTCCCATGGAAAGCTGAAGATATTTAAACTTAGGGTTCTCAAAATTAACATAATAGTTGTCTTTCTTTCTAAATAGTGCCCAAATACTTTTAACATTAATAGGCGTATAAGCTGCTGTAAATGTTGCACTTGAACTATCTGTATTCTTTGAGAATGAACCGTCCATAGGAATCCAATCCATAACTTTAACAGGAAAACATAAAGCCTCGTTTGTATAATGTTCTACAAGTTCTGTATAAATGTTAGGGTCTAAAGAGAATGACTTTGGATGAATGAAACATTCATTAAAATCCATCTTTGTTCGAAATAGTTGCTGGGTTACAGTTGTAATAGTAACTGTTCCACTAGCTTCTATGCCTTCGTTATCATAGTGAATGGTTCATTCCATGGAACAAATTTATTTGTCGGTGGATTTGAATCTGAAGCAAATGCAACTTTAAGAGTTGGATTGAAAGCAATGATATCATTTACAGATATAGATGTGCATTGTAAGGCGTCGCTACTGAACTTTACTTTAAGCTGAATGTTTCCTGCAAAAGCTGGAATAAATCGAATAGCTTCTAATGGAAGGAATCTTCTAACAGGAATTCTTAAACGAAGCTTAAAATCAAATGATTTTCCTGCTGTAATTGGACCACTAACAATTTGTCCTGTTCTGCATGTTCCCGAATGACTCCATACATCTTCATGTCGAGTCTTTGAGAAAACATCTACTTTCTTTATTTGTTCGGTAGTTTGTGAGTTTGAAGTTATATATGCTTCTTCTCTTGCGTTGTCTTGAGAATATACGATACGACCATTTGCAAGGATTTGATATCCAGCAACTGCATAGAAAGCGTCATCGAAACCAATCCAAAATCCTGGTGGGTTTGTTTTATTGGAACCTGAACCAATTTCTTTATCTACAATAAATTGACCTTCCATTTTATACGTAATGAATGTATTGTAAAGGTCCAACATATTTTCACCAGGAGGTGAGAGATTGAATGTTACCCATGTGTTATCTTTAGCAGTTCCAGGTTGTGATGGAATCTTTGCGTCAGAATATTTTCTATTAGTGTCACCAATTTGAACTGCATTGTCTATGATATCGAAATATGAGCGAATCTGATGAATATGCTCTGCTGGAGTAAATTCGTTTAACTGTTCGTTCTGCATGTATTTACTTCGATAAAAATATCTATTTACTTCATTATTCTCACTCTTCTTCTTGGCATTCGTGGTGGAAGTTGTTTCTTGACATTTTCAATGAACTGTACATTCTCTTTTGTCTCAACTTCTTTCACTGGTGGGTCAGGGTTCTTTGACTCGGTTTGTTTTTCAATGAAATTCACGAACTTTGCAATAAGCTCTTGGTTCGTTATTGAAAGTACATCTGGCTTCTTTTCTTCTTGTTCTTTGACTTTTCAGTTTGAATAGAAGGTTTTATATGGGCTTCGCCCTCGGTGCCATACACCTTAATGTTGTCGCTCTCTGCATTCGCTAATGGAACCTTTCTTTTTCTTACGTATATTTTACCATCTTTACTCTGACTTACGTAATAGAAAGGATGTTGTATTCCTCTTGCGTCATTTAATATAATAGACTCTCGCTCTGATTTTGACAAGCTCATTTTACATCGGTTAAAGTTTTAATTTTGTTTTTTATCTGCAGTCAAATGACTCAGACAAGTCCTACGGACAAGACCCAAGGGGTCATAGATGTTGAAGCATTGAAGAAAGAAATTCGCGAGCAAATTTTATCCGAACTGAAGGAACAAAAACAAGAACAAAAGCCAGAGAGACCAAAGAGAAAACTTAGTGAAAAACAACTTGCTGCATTAGCTGCTGGAAGACAAAAGAACCCACGTTTGCTGGCGAAGAAAGCTAGAGAAGAAGCTGAAGCAAAAGCTAAAGAAGCTGAAGCAAAGAAAGAGTAAATGGTTTATTTTTATCCGAATAAATGTATAGACAAATACCTTTATCTGTTGCGTTCAGTAGTGAAAACCCTGACGTCAAAATAAAGGGGAACAGAGTAACGTTTAAGTTTCCAACAGACTGGATTGTGAACATAAATGAAGAGAAGTACATTGGCATAACATCTATGTATATAACACGTGCATTTAGGAAAGTTGACTTTATACTTCAAGTCGAGATAGAAAATGACGAACAGTCTTTAAGCGCCCAAAACATTCACATATACAAATACTTTAAAGACGATACAACATTGTTGCAATGTATGATTTCATTTAATGAAATGTTCGAGAAAAAGTTTAACATTGAAGTACAAACTTTACAGCCTTTACGTGAGTTTTTGCACAACTGAAAGAAGAAGGTAGTCAGCCACAACTTATAGACTTTCATTATGAATTTAATGAAAATGAAGATGGAACACATGACTGTCAGTTTGTTATATATTCACCATTCAATGAAGTAGCTAAAGAGAAAGAAAATCCATTACGTATAAGATTTCAAATCTCTGAACCAAGTGATGATTTCAAGAATGTTTTCAATTATGATGCAATGCTTCCGAGGAAAAATGAATTTTCAAAGATTGTAACACCTGGCATTTGGGATAGAAAGCAAGCTATATTATATTCAAACTTAAGTAAGGGAGTTGAAAATGAGTTCATTGGTCATACAAGAACTTCACCACTTCCTAACCCTAAATACTATAAATTAACTGGCTTCAATCGTGAGTTTTGGATAGACATGTTCTCCACTCATGACCATAACTGCCCAGTGTTCTTACCTCCAGACCATAAGGACTGTCTCTACATTGAAGCACAACTCTTAAACTCTACCATCGCAGTATTGTAAAATCTACGCTAGCTTTATTTTTATCACGAATGACCTCATTGCTGACAAAAATAAATGACCTCATTCATGACCTCATTCATGACCTCATTGCTGACAAAAATAAATGACCTCAGAACTTCAACTTACGAATAAAGCTTGTTTTAGTCGTTATTGAGAAGTTAAACTTTTCAAAGCAAGGTTGACATGACTTACATAAGTCAAATCCAATCTCTTGACCGTCATAAAGTGCTTTATAAAGTTTCATGACACTGAACTCAGAGTCTTTGTCAAATTTTCCTTGCGGAACCATTAAACCTTTATCTTCATCATAGAAACACTGAACAGAGTCAGGAAACATTTCATTAGCGGTTAAAGCAATAACATCTTGCTTCACGCCTTTCATTCTGCAGTGAAATGCAACTTCATTTAAATCGTTAGTGAGTAAGTCTATGTAGTCTTCTTTCCACAAAATATTGACTTGTATGCTAAACTTTGTTTTCCAGGTGTTATTTCTGCGAAGTCGCTATGAAATTGACCTAATGTTTTACCAATAAGTTCTCTACCGTATCTCTTCTTAAATTCATGAGCTAAACGTGGTATGTCTTCATTGTAAATGTGCATCGAATCTGTATCCTGATAAAATGCTTTTAATCCTAAGTCTTCAATCGTGCAAAACACTTCATTCATAATACGTTTTGACATTGATAGAATATTTACACCAAGTGGACAAAGTTAAAGTGTCTGCAAATGCTTTTCGTTAGCTTGAAAATAGTTTTATCTGAACCATCCAAACCTTCGAACTTCACTATATGGTTGTAGTTTCTGATGGCATATCTTATAGCATCTTTGTCATCTACTATGGTTATTTTTGACTCAATAGGAGATAGAAAGTTTTGCCATAAATACTGTTCAGAATGAGTTTATATTTCTTGCAAAGGATTTCCTTCTTTCTTATACTTTAACCTTAACTCAAACAACTTCTTTACTTCATCTCTTATTCTAATATCTCTGTTTCCATCGTAATAGTATCCTTGCAACACTTCACATTTGACACCTTGATATTTTATGAGGTCTTGTAATGTTATATGGTCAACATACATTAAACAGCAAGTGTTTGAACTTCTGGGAACGTTAAGTTCTGGATTTAGTTTCAGGGTCACAAAACTATTAAAGGAAAGTGTCTATGTATTCCAATCTCTGTTATCTTAATGAGAACAAAGAAGCCAGACATAAACTTTTCACCAATGGGTTCCTTTTGGTCGTCATCGAATAAATGTCTCATGAGATACTCTGTGCTTAACATCTCATCCTTCATACTTTGGAATTCCTTCTAAAGTATAAAGTCTTGCTATAGCTGATGGATATAATGAAACAGCGTCGAAGTCAGCAATGAGTTTCTTTTTGCTCTTTTGTTTAATGTTACTGACAACATACATCTTCCACCTTGAATGCATCTCGAAATAAATTCTCTTGGTTTATTTGAGAGGTCATAAGATTTCCATTCGGAAGTACACTCTGTTCTCAAACAATTTGTTAGCAATAGAACAAATACTAACGTAGTCATAAACTTTAAATCAAACTCTTTCAATAAGTCATTGCGGAACTTTACAAAACCTTCTCTTAAAATTCTTACATCTTGTTTGCAATAAAATGTGCTATATTTTTCTAAGTCGAAGTGGTTTTCATCTATTCTGCAACCTTTGATGGAATCTATGTTTTCATAAATGTATCTGCATCCTGGATAAACTTACATGCTTCAGAAATGACACCAGTTCTGTTGTCATTTGCTAACAAAGTACTGCTGTAGTAGTTATATGGAAATACTTCTTTCGGTCCTGTTTGTAAGTTAAACATAGCAGGAAATAGTTTAAGCTTCTTATTTATAACACTGTAAGAGTCTTTATAATAATTGCCCTTCCTTTATATAAGCCAGTTATTTGCATTGTTCGTGAACCTTTAATGATGGGAGTTCCTTTCACTTCTGTCATGTGTCTTAAGATGAAGTTTATATCATAGCTGAGGTTATGGAAATATATTAAACTCTTGTCAGGAAGTCGTTCCAAAAATTCTGTTGCACAGTTCTGACCCCAAATGCTTTCACTCACTGAACCATCTTCACTGTCGTAACATATGTTAAAAGCTTTATGAAAGCCATCGGTACTACACTCAAAGTCAGCAAAGAAAACGTGCTCAGGAATGAACTTGCACTTATTTTTATTTACTTCTTTTGACTCTGCTTCTTCTTCAGTTGTACACAATACTTTGGAGCATATGTCAAATCTTTAAATGGTGCAAGGTTCTGTTTATATAAGTCAGTCGTATATGTGAAAAGTTCTCCATAAGAAATAGGTTCGAAATATTTGCACTCCCACAATGTTTTCATAACATCCCATAGCGGTGTAGTTCTATCATAACGAACTACATATTTGTTCTCTCTCTTTGTATATATTTTCATCTGTTTCTCAATGTTCATTCCACCACACTCCTTCAAGATTTCTTTGTAATTTCTGACGAAGTATGTTGTCATTGGAAGTCTTTCGTTTAGCATGTAGTGGTCTTCAACAAGAAGTAGGTCAATAGTTCGAACAGTTTCACATTCTTTTGGTATGTATCTCTTTATTTCATTATATCTTGAGTCATTGAAGTAACCAATGGTAACATTAAATGCTATACCTGTTGCGTCAGAAATTTCTTGTACTTTACTTTGAGGAAAGTCTCTAACACGAATGACTTCTCTCATGTGGTCAATAGTTTCTTCATTTACTCCAGCCTGAATGCAAGCATAAACGAAACAATTGTCTTCTGTCATAAGTGTTGCAGTTCTTTTGTTCAGTTCATTGAAGATTTGGTAGCGTTCAAGATTTATAGGTAATGTGCAAAGATACTTCCAGAACTGACCGCTTCTCTTCTTATAAAACTTCTTTTCACCATTATCTTTCCAAAAGCTTTCTATAAGTGCTGGGTTTCCTGTTTGCTTAAGAGCTTCCAAAATGGCTTTTCTGGTCATTTGTCAGTGTGCTTTCATCTCTATATGGTCTCTTTTTGGTTTGCCTTTCTTTACATCTGACATCGTTAAGCCTTCATATTCTGTTAAATCATACATCTTTATTTCAGTAAGATTCTTTATGTTTGTCAAGAAGAAGTCATAGTGCATTTCAACAATACCTGCGGCATTTGCTTCTATCTCTGATATAAAGTTCTCCTTCAAGAGCTGATGTAGTAATGTTCCAATATTATTGAGGTTTAACGTAGAACATTCATACTTTCCACCAAGTTTATAACATACCATCCATCTTGTTGTGAGTTTATTTTAATCTTCTCTAAGAGTCTCATGAAAACCTTACCGAAATGTTTGTGTAAATATCTCTGTTTGGTTCATCTAAAGCTTCGATGTTAAAGTCAATGAGTCTATTGCCTGACTTCACATTTCTCTTCCTATTCTCTTCATCTTTCTTTAACCATCTCTCACCTTCTTTTGGTTTGTCGTCAATGGAACGAATGACATCGTTAGCTTTGCGAACTTGTTCTATAGCACTTTTAAACATCTCTCTTCTCTGTTGTTTCAGTGTGTCGTCTCTTCTTCTTGTTTCACCAACGTTTGCATTTGTTATGTCAAACATTTCTCTTCTTACTTCATGAGGTACTGAACGTCTATGATATAAGTCAATAGCAACGTCATTTAAAGGAAAAGTTCTTGCATGGACTTCGTCCTCGCCGCGTTGCGGCTTTATGAACTCATGAATTCTATCATAACTTATTGCACCATTATAGTCATTGAGGATGTCAGCGAGTGCTTTTTTGTTTGTCGCGTAATGTTTTGCAACATCTATGTTAGCTTCTGTAAGAAGTTGTTTTATTTCCGAGTGTTCTAACTTAGACAACTTCCGATACATCTTTAGTAGGAAATAAAAAAATATTTTTTGAAAAAATTAGATTAGATTTTTTTAAGTTATTTTTCAAAATAATTTAATATTTTTATTTTAATGAAACACATGCAAGATTGCAAGTTCTTTTCATACAATGCTCTCGCTACTGCCATCAAGAATGAGTTCAATGGTGCTTCAAACGTTAATGTTATCTTTAACAAGAAGTTTGTGAAAGAATCTAAGTTTGGTCAGTATGTCAGACCATTAGCTATTGTCATTGACCGCAAACGTTATACTTCACAAGAGTTAGCAGTAGTTTTGAAACAAAAGGGTTTCTTCGTGAATGTCAAAGATACTCATTATACTGTCATAAAGAACTCTAACATTGACTTCTTCAGTATTGCTATGAATCTTTCCGAACAGAAAGAATATAAGAAGGGTGAAACAAATGTGAAATATTATCCTTCATCTCTGAAGACAATAACGAACAAAGATGTTATACAGAAATTCTTACCAAAGGTTGAAGAAGCTTCAATTGACATTGACGAAGGAAGTGAAATGGTTGAAGAAATTGACCCTGACGTTATTTGAACAAAAATATATTTTTGGTTAGTCTTCATATCGATATTTTACAACAATTCCCCAATGTATAAACTTTTCATACGCTTTTTCATAAGCTTTATATACCTTCAGAAATTTTGCATAATCTTTAGAAGCATTTAGATATTGTTTAAATGCTTTATATACCTTCAGAAATTTTGCATAATCTTTTACATGTTGTTCGTTCTCTTCTTCTGTCATGAGTTCCGAATATTCTAAATTCATGTTCTTTCATATGAGATAAAATTTTATAAAAAATAAAATTAGCTTAGATTTTTTTATTCTTCCTTTTGAAGTTATCGAAATATTCTGTTATTTTTTCCTTCAGTAATGGTAAGTCTTCTTTGAAGGTAAGAATTGTACAACCTTTAATATCATAGTGTGTTTGAGGAAGAGTACTTTTGACAATTTCCTTTATTTGCTCATTCGGTGTCATTGAAATCGGTAAGTTTTCACGATAGAACCAGTTTCTGTTCAGATTTATATATTTTAGCGAGGTCATAAAAGCTCTTGTTGTTTCTTCTCACTAAATGCAACATAACCATATCTCTATCTTCTTCTTTCTCCATCTCTTCAGCGTAAATCATATACTTATAGCTTTTTTCCTTTCCTTTTGGTACTGAACGTGGTATTCTTTTCTGTATGCTTTTGTCTTTGGATTCAATGACTTCATCTTTTGCTTGAAGTTTCTTTTCCATCTCTCCACGTTCTGCTTTATATAGTTCATCTAACATCATGAAAATATAACAAGCATAACGAGGTGAAGCCCACATTGCTACAGCGTTTACTAAAAGTCTATGAACATAATAACCTTTCAAACCAGGTGCCAAATTCTTGCGATTTTCGTACGGAATCTCTTCTCTCGGTTTTCCGAGGGAAGCAATCATATGAGGAAATTCTTCTAAAAGTTCTTTTGTCTGTTGGTTTTCAAACCAATGATATGCTTGCTTTGTAGAACGAAGAGCATTCATTATACTTTGCATTTGGTACATGTCATCTTTGACTGAACGAATGAGACGTAACTGTTTGTTATACTGTATGTATTCGTATTCTTCATTTATAGCTTCATGGACTATAACTGTTGTTGTGTTCTCTGATGTTGTCATTACTGTCTTTACATACAAAATAAAAAAATAAATAAAAATAAAATTAGCGTTATTTTCTGACTTTCACAAAAGACCAAAAATAAACGCTTTACATGTATTTTTCAGCAACTTCGTCAAATAATTTTATAGCTTTATCTATCTCATCTACTTCAAACGTTTCTTTACCTTTCATGGGAGCACCATACATTTTCTCAAACTTTTCAAGTAGTTCTGTTTCTGCAGCTCTCATATCATTAACGAACACAACCTTGACTCTATTGACTGTACTGTCATATCTTTGAGTTATATTATATGTTCTTCCTATCTTATATCTTTGTGTTGAAGTCCTTCGGTTTCTGAACGATATAAAGTAAGCCTTCACTGCAACGTTCCGTATCGAATGAACCATATGTTATGAAGTTATATCCAACAACTGGGTCTAACCATAACAAAACTATTGGTATAAGACTTTTGTCTATAAGATATGCTCTTGTTCCATGAAATGCTACTGATATCATAAGCTCAGGATTTCTTGTCAAAATTTTCTGAGTTGAAGCATTTCTAACCCAGTCGTTTGTTTTCTTTCCAGATGGAGATATAATGTCTGACAAAGAATATTTGTTGTATTTCTTTGAGTATCTTACGTTTAAATCACCTATTCTAACCACTTTGGTGTCATTGTCTATCTTTCTAACTGTTTCAAACTCAATGTTTGTCATTACTGTCTTTACATACAAGATAAAAATTTTTCTTAGAAAAAAATTAGCGTTATTTTTCTATCTTAAGGAAATGTCAAAACTCATGAATTTTCGTGAATTTCCTTAAGATAGAAAATAATGTTTATGTTAGCATGTTAGATCTAACACGTTTTTAACCACTTTTCTAACATCGAAGAAAACTATTTACAAGCGTTTTACATGGTATATGTTGCGATGGTTCATGACTTTAAACAGTTTTGTAGCTTCTATTTCTTCACGAAGGATATCAAAAATTTTAACTATGCCGAAGGTTTCTTTATATTTCTTCTTGACATCAGATAATAGGAAATCGTCAGCAGTTGGATAGTTTTTGTTCAGAAATGCTAACATGTCCATTTTATCTTCTGCTGGTTTCTCTACTTCTTTCTTTAAGTCAGCATAGTCGTTTCTCATACGTTCTATCTCTTTGACGGAGTAGTTATATTTCCTCATTGCTGCTTTACATTTTGAACATTGCGGATTCATTTTTGCGTTATACATTGAAATTTGACCTGCTAGAACAACTAAGGCGTCAATGGTTTTCTTTAACTCAAAAGTTGTTGGTTTTATTTGTCCATTCCATATTTTACATCTTTTATCTTTATCTCTTATCTGCCATACACATTCAGCAACTAATGAAACAAAGTTGTTGTATGTCTTAAACTCCCCAGATTTATATATGTCAGAGATGTTCTTATATACCATGTCGCAATCTTTGTCCATAACTTTATGGTTGCAATGATATCCTAGAAACTCATAGTTTACTTTACGTATGAACTTCTTTATTTCTACTGAGTCAGTTGGTTTCACTTCTATTTCATCGAATTCATGAATAGTGAGCTTTTGTTGTTGGATTTCAGGCAATTTGGGTAAATGGTCAATAATATCCTGCATGTCATAAAGATACTGTTCATTTGTTTCATCTTTCGCACTACAGTCTAAATTACTTGTTAAAAGTTCTTGCTTAATTCTTTGTATTTCTGTCTCAAAAGTATATGAAGAAGGAATGAAGCTTTTCATCTCTACTAACATAGATGTTGGATTCATAACTAAAGAGTTTGGTGAAGTTGTTGTTTGAAGTGTTGTAGAACCTATTGTTGAAATCATATCTTTACATACAAGATAAAAATTTTTCTTAGAAAAAAATTAGCGTTATTTTTCTTTCATAAGGAAATGTCAAAAATTCATGATTTTCGAGAGTTTTAGACCATGTTAGAAAAGTGGTTAGAAAACGTGTTAGATCTAACATGCTAACATAAACATGATTTTTGTTCATGGACTTCGTCCTCGCCGCTTCGGTCTGAAAGACCTCAGGACTCAAAGAGTCCGTTTGCGTCTTTATGTTAAAATAAATGGTACCCTTAATGATATCATGACTGTTCTCGTTCATGTCTGATTTACATCTAATGAAAAAGTTTAGAAGAATTTTCTTATTCTTTCTGGCTTATTTTTTCTTTCCAGTACTCCCGCTCTAATGGTCCCAGATGTGTTGGCTTTGACTCTCTCAAGTTCTTAGATGGTATAACATCTTCAACGCCTCCTTCATATCTTACTTTATAAGTGTCATCGTTTATGTTATAGTTAAGTATTTCAATAACCACTCCTCGCTTTGCTTCGTCAATGGTTTCAGCAAGTTTGCCATTACTACTTTCGACTAATTTATGACGAGGATAAAACGCAATAGAGTCGTCAGCAGCTTTTATAAGATATCCATTACCTTGCGTAGAGTCTACGATATAATAATTTCGACTTAACCTTGAACGTTTCTTTGTCAACGGTTTGTCGTCAAGAACTACACGAACTTTTGTACCAGGAATGAGGGTAAATTGTGTTGAATTTCTGATATTTTGTGTTTGGCTTCGTTTCTTTTGTATATACTTTTCTTCTTGTTGTTGTGTCATTGAATTTGGTGTATGTCCTGTTGTAGAATTTGTTGAGGAATTATATACTTCGAGAAAATGTTTCATTGTTTCTTCGGTAAAGTCTCGCTCTTGATTTAAATCTCTGAGCGTTCTTATGAAGCGATTAATGATACCTAAAATATTATGGTTATGGTCTTCAGTAGTGTAGTGAGTTATGTTATGCTTAATGAGAAATTCTGTGATTTCGTTGCTGAGGTATGCACTGTCTTGGTCTGATGTTAAAGTACTTGGGTTATGTTCTGCTACAAACTTTTGTAAAACTCTTAACACTTCACGAGTTCCTTTATTTCTCATTATATACGCAAAAGCTTTGCGAGTGTTAACATTTATGAAGATGAGGAATGGTTTATGTCCTCCTTTTCTGCTTTGAATGAGAGTGTCAAATTGGTATGCGTCAGGAGTGTTGGAGTAAATTGGTAAAAAGTAGTCGTAAGGGTTTATTTTTGTTTGATGTACAACATTTTTGTCAAAGAACTTTTTAACTTCAGCTCTGTTAGTAAATCCCCAACTTTTTGCTGCTTCATTGAACTTCTTAAATGACCTCCATGGATGTTGTTCGAATACTTCTTTCAAGCTCATTTATGTAAAGTTAAAGAGTTTAACCAACTCGTATCCAAGCGTGCATTGTTATATAAGGAGGCATATAATCTTTTCCATTACCTTCTGGGTCTGTAATACCAGCTACAACATGTGTATGATTTCCTGCAGTTCCACAGAAAATACCTGTGCTAACATCTTTGGGGTCATCTGAGATATCATATCTGTTCATTCCCTGTCTATTCGAACCCGCTGCAAGATTTATATAACCTCTTTTTGTTATTGAATGTGAATGGTTTCCTTCCACAGATGTTCTTCCACTGAACCTATGCATATGTGAAGGAAGGTTTTCAATACCTATTTTCTTTGAACCTCCCATCTTCATTGACTGCGTATTAGTGTAGAATGGAAAACTGTCAACTATTTCATACCATCTACCACCAAATAAAGTGTTTGGATTTATTGGATTCATAGACGTATAAACAGCTCCTATAGGATATATTAAATCATATATGCTCATAACTCTATAAACATATTCTAAAGAACTTATGTCATTAAATACCATTTGGAATGTATCTCCCGGATGAAATGTTGCATTTGTTCCACTTTTATAATGTAATGTTAGTTCAATAGAATTATCCAAGAAAAATTCAAAAGTATCTGGTTGAAGACCTCTAACAAACTCAAATGGAGTTGCTGGTTCACCATTTATAATTTCTGTTGTAAATGTCATTGTATCTGGTTTCGAAAATTTCTTTGTTAGTTCTGCATCCACATAAGTTTTGTCTGCTTTCTTATCTAACATTGCTGGTAGTTCATGTGCTTCAAAGTTTCTGGCATGACCTTCAATGTTCCTGCAACTGTTATCTAAATTGTTAAGAGTATCTTTTACGCTTGTACTTGGATTCTCTAAAGGTGCACTTGAACCAAGGTCAAAGTTCAGTATTATGTCATCAGCTCTAACAGTAGTGAAGGATTCATGTGTATGGTTTTTGTCTGCTTTGTTGTCTAAAGAAGTTTGAAGTTCATTTATATCGGAGATATTGTGTTTATGAGATTTCAAAACTTTGTTCATTGCGTCAAGTTCATTTTTGTCAGCTTTACTTTTAATAGCATCTTCAAACGTTATTTTTGCCTTAACTCTCAATGTAAATCTTGGTTCAACTAATACACCGTTAACAGAGAAAGTAGAGGCATAAATTTCACCGGTATAACCAAATGCTTCTGGTGCTTTACCCGTGTCATACTGTACAGTACAGCTTATGTCATAACCTTTAGCACGAATGAATTTATATCTTCTTTCATTAACATCTTCCGTCTTCACTTCTTCACTTCGTGTTAAATATCCATGGTAGTCCGTTATAATCTGTTCGTCTGAAGTTATATAATGAACGTGGTTCTTGACTTTATCACTCAGAGCTAAAAGCTCATTTTTGTCTGCTTTTTCGGCTAATTTCTCATTAACATCATTCACTACTAATTCAACTCTCCCGCCAGAACTCTTATTATCATTAATCTTTTTCATTAATTCGGTAATTACGTCATAAAGACTATATTCTATTTTTGGTTTTGTAAATAATGAGTCAAAATTTCTTTTCATCATTACATCGCTGACATTAATGATATCACCAATTCTTTTTTCATTTATTCTCTTCATTAATTCTGCAATAATGACGAATATATAATCTGTTAATTTATTCTCTTCATCGAGGGTTATAGAATGTTTTGAAATTGAATCATTAACTCCTCTAAATAAATCAATAACTTCAGGATACACGTTTTTAATGTCTCGAATAACCCGACCAGTATCCTGTTGTTCATGTTCTTCGTTCCCGTCGTTACATGGTTTTATATCTCTAACCATCATCAACGCATCCATAACCGGAGGGTTTGTTGCTATCTGTTCAAAAATTCGTCCGTTATGTACAGTATATCTAAATAATTTCTTTGTGTTTGTTAAAACATTTGAAACAAGTCTTTTAAAACCATCTACAAAATTTCCTGTTTCACCTAATGCTCTTACAGCATTTACAAGCTCACTCATTCCCGCTTTTGACCCCAAAAACGTCCATATTGCATTTATTTCACTCTGTATTGTTGTCCATTCAGCAAAATTAATACCCGCATTCGCTAAGCTGAAAATGAAATTCAGTGGATCGAACTTAATTCCACCTTCTTTTTCAATTTCAACGAACTCACTAACATGAGATTTTAAATATTCTTTCGTTAAAATTGTTTTCCCCGATGTTATGTCATTAACGAAACTATCACCGTCAAAAGTTAACGAATTCAATTTCGTCGTTGATGCTTTTATTTCATACACCGCTTTATCGATAGTTTTTGGCTCACCTTCTTTAGAAGTGTATGAAACATTAATGAATGAATTATATGTATTCGTGAATGAATTAAAATCAATGATTTTCATTAATGACGCCTTTAATGATTCATTTACTGTCGAATCCCTTAAAGTAATTAATGAACTGTCATTTATGAAGGGTACACTGCAAACCGTTGAGTTTGGATCAAATGCTATAGTTGGTGCAGGAATATTAATGATATAAGTCATTAAATCATTAAGTGACGTAAATAATGTTGTCGTTTTTGATTTAATTTCTTTAGCATCTGTTATATATGGGAATTTTATTTCTGTAGTTTCTGAATTAAAGATATTCGCTAAAATGTTTTGTAAACTGTTTTGAACAGCTATGTAAACCGTTGAATCCGGAACTCTTACGATTTCACCATCCTTAATAAAAGGCATTGTACATGGCGTAGTGCTTGGGTCAAATCTTTCGGGATTATAATTCAACATATATTCTAACGCTTCATGAACAGACTTATATACTGTTGTGTTGTTCTTCATGACAACTTCACCATTTACAATGAATGGCATAGTGCATGGAGTTAAAATGGGGTCAAACTTTTCATAGTCCTTCCATGTTATGTATTTCTCGGTATTTCCATCACTGATAACAATATATTTGTCAGTAAGTGTGAGAGAGTATTGACCAAAATATAAACGTTTAGCTCTGTCAGCTTCATACGCATATGCAGCTATACTCATATTTTAATGAGAATAAAATGTTGTTCTATTTGCAAAGTACAGACCCAAACGAATACGGGACAGTAAAACTACAAAACTTAGGTCTACAGAATGAGCCACTTGCATTCAGAATGGTTGACTTTAATACTATTGCTTCATTCGTTATAACTGACGAAACAGATTTCATGGAGCTTGAAATAGATGGAAAGAAGCACGAAATAAGATTTCACAATAATGTAGAATATAAGATGGAAACATTAGCTGGAGTGTTAAATGCTCTCATAAATACTACAATAAACAAGGATAACGGAGAAAACTTAATGAATGTTAAACTTATTGCAGGAGTTTTGAAGTTCAGTTATGCGAAAGAGTTTAAGATACCAAGAATGAGTCATAGAGTACAACTTCTTTTGGGAGCATACCATATGACATTTCCTTTGAAAAGTGTTGACAAAACGATTGAGATGAAATCTGTTCCATACGTATGTTATGGCAATTGTTTGTACATTGAGTCAAAAATAGCTAATGTCACAGGTATTTCAGGAGTTAATAGTAAAGGTTCAGTAGAATATAAGTCTTTCTGTTATGCAGTCAATTCAATGTTCATTCCAAACGTTCCTGTCATAGCAACTCATTTAGGTAAATGGGTTCGCATTAGTCCTCATAATTTGAAAGACATGCAATTCAGACTTGTTGACTTTCAAGGAGAGCCTGTAGAACTGAAGGCACCAGTGCGAATGACTGTTGAAGTTGACTTTTTAGAAAATATTAAATGCAACAGCTTACAAGAGAACTCAGAGCTAAAAATATAAAGTATGAATGTTATGTATTAGGTCATGAACTTTGGTTGTTGCTGTTTGATGAAACAAATGAGTTAGTTATGTCAGTCAAGAGAACAGAAAAATATTGTGTTAGTGAAAACTGCACCAAGTCAATAAGATTAGGTTTGCATTATGAAGATGAGTTCGATACTGTTGAAGAAGTTTTGGATAGATATTACAAATTGCTAACTTGAAATTTTTTGACTGACGGCGCAAAGCGCCAAGATGGGCTGTTGAATCCATAGAGTCTGAAGTTGCTGATATAATGATTTGGTCATAGTAAGAGTCGTTTCCTAAACGCTCTGTTATGACTATATGACGAATGAGGTTAAATGTCTTACCTGAACCCATCTTTCCACAATAGAAATACACACCATTTGAACAGAATTCATAATCTTTGCTGAAAGGAAGAATAAGAGAAGAGTTAAGTTTGTCTGTAGTTTCATTCATGTCTTCATCTACGTCATGTATTAAATGCTTCATTTTATCTCCATTAAAAATGCAAGTCAGAAATATTCAGAACATAGCACCGAGTCTAACTGACAAGAGTATAAAGATATACTATGAACACGTTATGATGAAACCAACCAAAATTCAAGAAAGTCAGTATACTTATGAATATCCAAGACACTGGGTAGAGTATGTAGGAGGTGAGAAAGCTATTGAAATCAGACAGGTTCGAAGTATTCCAGCAGGAAGAACAATATTATTGAAGAACTTTAATGTTTTGAGATATAATGATGAAACAAAGAAGCAAGATAGTTTCCCTGTTGCTGTGTATGTGAACTTAGATACAGGAGATGACATGAAAGTTTTTAACACAAAGCTTCAAACGGTAGTGAGAGAACAACTGACTGCGGAAGGGCATCCATTACCTTCAGAAGTTACCATAGCATATAATTTTGAAACAAATGCAATAGATTTTAAAGTCATCTCTGCAAAGAAGTCAAGATTTACATTTAATGAAGCAGATGTATATTCGAATGAAAACTTCAAAGCTATTGCATGGTTAGATAATGACGATTGCTTTAAGAAAATCTTTAAATTCAGTGACTCAAAGATGTCAATAGATGACCTTCGTGGAATGTTACCATCGACGTTTACAGTAGAAGGTTCAGCAGGATTGCTTACAAGATTGTCAATTGGTTGTATTTGGTCTCGTGAGAACATTGTTATAAAATCCAGTATAAGTGAATTTGCTGAAGAATCTATATTATGTCTTTCAAACTACATGTATTCGCCACCGAAGCATTATAGTATAACAAACTTTGTCAGTAAGTTTAACATAAGACTTGTCGAACCTTCTTCAATGAAAGATGTTGTGCTACCTAAAGATGGAAAGGATGGACTCATTATTGAGATGATTTTAATTGCATATTAAATGAGCTTGTTCTTAAAGGTCGTTCATGATGAAATAACAGTTGTAGAAGATGTTAGCAATTGTTCAGATATTTTATTGAGAATAGATGAGATAAGAAAGAAGTTAGATAGACCGCAAAGCGGTGAGGGCGAAGCCCGTGAGAACGCTTATGTTTCATTGACTTTCTCCAGTAACGAGAACTTTTATGAGATAATATTGAAGAGAGATGATTTTAATATGGTGTAAATGGTAGCTTGGGCAGCTTTAGGCGCAATGGGAACAAAAGCATTAGCATTTGGAGCAAAAGCACTTGGAGCTTATGACGCAGTAAATAAAATGAGTGGAGGAAGGGTTTCAAAGACATTAGATGCAAATAAATGGGAAAGCATTAGCATTTGGAGGCTGGGTTGCAAAGAAGTTAAGATTAAATAAAATAGGGCTCATAAATAAAGCATCCAATTTGGTTGCGACTGAGTCAGAAAATGCTTTAGGAAAGGACGATGAGTTTGCAAAACATGCAAAAGACTTTAATGACCAGATGAAAGGTGAAACAATGCATTTAAATAGAGTCGATGGAACTAAAGAAAATGTTTCTTCTCCACCAGCGGTTTATCCATACGGACCTTATGGAATGTATGGAAACCCTTATGAACGACCATTTGACCCATTGACTGGTGGAAGTAATTGGTATCATTATGGACGAAGAAGAAAGACAGTCAAGTTGGAGACAGACGTGAAGAAAGCAACTAAAAAGAAACCAAGGAAGAGAGTTATAAAGCAATGAATTCAACAGGGTAGAAAAGAGGTTAGAAAACGTGTTAGATCTAACATTCTAACATAAACATTATTTTTATGCTATGTTTTCATACGCGTGAGGGTGGTGATATCATTTATTTTTTATTTTATTTTTATATAAATGACAGAACAAAAGCAACTCATACAAATCAAAACATATAACAAACATACATTTAAACATTTATTCTTCCTTCCTGAGCATAACATGTTCTTTCAAATACATCCGAGACCAGTTGACTTTTCATTGACTGTGTATAAAGATAGAAATAGTTATATCATTAAACCATACGATGACGAAGGTAAGTTATGTAAATTGTACGTTAAGAAGTTAGAGAAAGTTTATGGCTTCAAGTATGACTACAATAGGGTTAACACTAATGATGAAGATATTGAGGAAAATTTATGAGAACATTAGTGAAGTTGTTAGTGAGAACGATAGTGAGGTGAAATTGTTGGTGGCTTTGTAAATATTTAAGGTTAAGTTGGTTTTTGCGTTCATGTTGTAAAATATACGTTAACTGTTTTGTAAAGTGTCAAATTCACAAGTATTGGGTAAGGTGGAACGCAGTGCCACCATACTCAAGACTTGTATACTAACTTTCTTTGCATTCTAAGAACTTTTGTTGGACTTCATCTTTCCAATCGGCGTCATCTCTGTCAACAAGTCTGTCATTGACAAATTTTAAGACTGCTCTTTGTAATGTTTTATGGTTCTTGTCATATTCCCAGAAACAGAACTTTAGAACAAATTCACCTTTCTTGTTTACACTATGTAAGATTTTATGGTCGACAGATGTTTTGCTGTCAAAAAGTTTGTCTCGAATATAGATAGCGAAATCGCTAGACATTTTCTAAAAGATAAAAATTTTAATTTTTCTAAAAATATGTTAGAAAAAAAGTTTGCTGATATTGACAAGAAATTTGAGAATGTTTTAAACAAGAACAAGGTGAAGTTGGAAAATGCTCAGATAAAGCCTATACATGACAAGTTCTTATTTGCTCAGAATGGTATAACAGGTCTAATTGCACCACCTGGGTCGGGTAAGACTTTCACTTATCTTAAAATGGCTGCACAACAACAAGAACTAGATGAGAAGAACCCATTCTATGAGTTAGTTGTTATTTGTTCGACTTCTGGTCAATTTGACCAAACCGTCAATTCGTTCAAAGATATTATAAAGAAGTCTAAGTTAGTATGTATAAAGGATACTGAGTTGTTAGATTGGATAAAGAAGTACCAAAGAAGAGTTTTGAAGTATAATGCTATAAATGAGTATATAAATTCTAAGTTTAAAGACCCAAATGAGGAAATGCAGAGAATATTAGAGAAGAAACACTTCAGAAACAAACAGAAAGAGATAGAATACATTTCGAAGAAATTGCAATCTTACGATTGGAAGACTTACCCTCATAGATGTCTTCTTATCTTAGATGATTTCGCCTCTCATCCTTTGTTAAAGAACAGAGAACAAGATATGTGTCGAATTCTTAAGAAGCTCAGACACTTTAACATCTCAGTTGTCATTTGTGTACAGACAGCAAAGAGTTTAAGTAAGGATGTTAAAAGAATACTTACTGACATAATACTTTTCCCCGGATTGTCCGAAGACGATTTCATGGAACTTATGAAAGAGTCCATGGCAGGTAAGTTTGACAGACATGAACTATGGGAGAAGTACAAAGTCATACAAGACCCTCATACTTCTTTCAGAATTCATATCTACGCAAACAAAGTTCAAATTGTAAAAAGTCAAGCTTGAAAAATCTAAGTGTTTAGTCTTAGTAAGATGGTAGCTTCTTAAAGCATATGCCGTCCTTGAGTTTAGGTACGTGAAGAGAAGTACAATGAATTCAATTACGAGTACAATTGCAATGACAACTAAGGCAACTATTTTTGTCTTTTGCCAGCAAGGGTACTTCTTCTCTTCCAATGGTTCGGCAGAACTATACTCACTCATGAGAAATGCCAAAACGGTTTAATAGAAAAAGTGTCATTTTTTTCATGTCCGAAGACTCGAAGGTGCAACACTTCCAAAATACCGACGAACTCAGAAGAGCAGCATGGCAGTATCTTCTTGACAACTTCTTTGAGTTCTCCAGGTACACCTTGGAAAATGCTGAAGAACTCCGACACAGAGAATTTGGAGAAATTGCAGTCCAATACTACCTTGACAAACAAAGGGTAAAATAAGACTAAAAACTTAACGTTTAAAAAGTGACATTTTTAATGAGCTCCGAGTCACCGAGAAAACTTGGTCAGATGTTAGCAGCTTACTTCCCTGAGGAGGAGGGAAGCGTTACATACATCAGGTTCAAAAACAACGAACCTGTAATTGCGTACCAAATTCGCAATTACATGACCATGGAAGAGTACGAAAGGTTTCTACAAGAGAAACCAGCTCTAAACAACTCAGAAAAGAAAGAGTAAAAAGTTTAATTCGTAATTGTTTATTTTTTTACTTGTAAGGGCAAGCTGCAAGAATGAAGTCGACTATCTCAGTCTTTGTCTTGACCAGTTGGACTGCTCTTGTAAGCACGTCTGTTTTGCGGTCTCCAGCTGGTGTTTGACCTTCGTAATTGCGCATGTTCTTGAGAGCTCCAGCTGTAAATGGCTGTAAGATGAAGAGTCTCTCAGACTGCTTGAGGTAGTCTTCACGGTCACGAGCCGAATCTGTGGTACGAGTCGAATCGGTCGATTTGAGGGAAGAGACTGAGAGCCTGTCTTCTTCCATTGGAGCTGTAGCATACTCTTTGCGTAAACGGTTCAGACCTTCCTCGAACTCTTGGTCTCTCTTCGATTGAGATTGGAATTGGAATTGCTGGGGTGGAGCTTGCTGGAACAACCAAGGGTTGGGGAAGTAAGGCATAGGCTGAGGAGGGTAGTTCGGGAAGCCTTGTGGTGGGTAGTAACCTTGAGGTGGAAATTGGTAGTAATTCGGAGGTACTTGCTGGAACTGAGGTTGCTGAGGAGACTGTTGTGGTTCTTTAGGTTCCTCTGGTTTGGGAATGGACTCGGTTGGTGGGACGTCGGACATTCGTTTGTGTCCTGTCGGACCACAACGATAAAAATCTCTGCTACTAGCAGTACTGCTACTGACAGTAGCAGTACTTTTTCTGACAGTAGCAGTACTTTATCGTCGAAAACCCTCTCAAATTTTCCTTTTTACTGTCAGAAAAAGTAGTTTTTCTGCTACTAGCAGTACTTTTACTGACAGTAGCAGTACTTTTTCTGACAGTAGCAGTACTTTTACTGACAGTAGCAATGGTCGAGGTCGAACCTACCGACGAGGCAATTTACCTAATTGAAATTAACGAGCTTGTTAAAGACTTCCTCAGGCAGAATGTAAAAGGCAAGCTTGTTAACGGTTGGATAACGGGAAGGGCTGCCTTGAATCTCGAGACTTCGACTGGAATTCCAATTCAAATACCAGACGGGACAGCCTTCGACGACATAAAGCAAGCAAAGAAGGAAGCCATTATAAAGTTCTTTGCCAAGCGTCCTTGGATACTACTTCCAAACAGAGAGAACCCTTTCCCAAGAATGAACCAAATTCTCAAGGGTCTCCTTCACTTCTCTGGTCAGCCGTTCTACATAACCTGTGAAGGCGACATCCAACCAATTCAGTAAACATCTCATTTTAACTCACTTTTTTTATGTTTTTACTCACACTCGTACTCACCAGGTATGAGTACAACTATTTCAACTGTGAACCTTGTAGTGACCGGTCTTCCTGCAAATGCAAGTTCGGTCAATACACAGTTTATGGTGGCAAGAATTGAAATTCCAGACCCAACTCCAACAAGAACTCTCAAGTTACCAGAGACTCGTGTGAAGAAGAAGCCTTCTGGTAAGTTTCTTATAGCCATATACATGGCACGTTTAGAGTAAAAACATTTTTTTTCATTTTTTGAATGAAGCAAGTTAAATTCGTCCCACACCAATCTCAATGGACCGATGAAGAGTTTCAAGCTATGGTTGAAGGCGTTGAGAACGATATAGACGGCGAACTTGAAGGAGCTCAAACCACAATTGCAACCAAAATTGCAGAAGTCAAGGAACAGATAGCTCCACTTAAAGCTACCAAAGTTACTCTTGACCTCATGGATACTTACCGTTTAGATGTCAAGAGAGGAATAAGACAATTAAAATTAAAACTCTTAAATTACGAAGCTATACTCCAGAAGTTAGCAGAGATGAGAAGACTTTACCAGAGCTACTTACATGTAAGGGACTTACCTTCAAGCAGTCCGACCAAAGATGAATTTTCTGACATTGTCCCAATTTTGTCCGAAAGTCAGCTCAGATGTTTTGAACTGCTCCCAACATATCCAGAATATGAACGTTTGCCTGAACTCTTCCGCAATCTCAAAAAACGTTTTTTGGTTCTCATGTTCGAAACTTTTATCGGAAGAGACAACAAACGTTCAGAAGAAGAACAAGATATTATTTTAAACTTGTTGTATGACTTAACTGTCATAACCAGCTTTTTGAAGTAAAAACGTCATTCTCAAACCACTTCATTTTTTCGATGTCCGAACAAGCACCGAAGCCGAACACAATAGCAGATGTCCTTTCAAGGTTGCCAGACAAGCGCCCACTTCAAATTCAAATTGCCCAATTGAAAGCTCATCTGACAAACACCATTAAGACTCTCCAAAGTAGTCTTATGACAGAGATGACCAATCTCAAAGCCGATGTCCTCATGAACCAAGCTTCCAATGAGAAATGCCTGAACGATTTCGCGGAAACCTTGCGCAATTACGAGAGAGAGAACCGAGACCTTGCCAGACTCATCTACCGTTTCTTCGAAGAGATAGACGCCATCTGGAAGGTACTTGGAAAGGACAGAACATGCAACACCGTACTTCGTGAGTACCAAATTGAAGAAGGAATTGTCGAGGAAGAAGAGGAAGAAGAGAAACACGAAGAAGAGGAAGTTTGGGCAACCCTTGTTGCCGATGACGCTTACGAAATTTTCCAACCCTACCCATACCAAATCCGCAACAAGGAGACAGGCAAGGTTCTTACCCCAGTCCTCAACAACTTGGGACACTTGAACCTTAACCTTCGGAATCGCGGTTCAATCTCCATGGGCAAGCTTGTCGCAATTCAATGGGTTCCAAATCCAGACAAGAAGACGAAGGTCAGACACATTGACGGTGACAAGCTCAACAACCGTAAGGAGAACCTCGAGTGGTTCTAAGAGTAAAAAAATTTATTTTAGGGGGAAACCCCAAGTAAATTTAAGTTTTTATTTTTGGTGTTCGTACCAATCTTGGAATGTGAAGACCACATCCCAACCTCTGTACGTGAGTCTTGGGTCCACGTCTAAGACGCTTCTGTAGCAATTCCAAGCCCGAGCAAATTCAATTGTCAACCACTCGTCTCCTCTGTAGTCTGTAATCCATTCTTTGAAGAGACGGTCGAGTTCGGGCTTGGAATATCTCTTGTCTGGGTCCGAGACCAACATTTGGTTGAACTGGACGAAGCGCTCAGGGATGTACGCCATTAAAAAAATGTCACTTTTTTAAAAATTTTTATTTCATGCAATGTTTTATTTCACCATCTTCAAGTAACCCCAGTACTTACGCTTGGAGAGGACATGAACTTCGGTGAAAATTTTGTCCAATTTGAATCGACCCATCTTTTCACCGACCATACCCATTTCAATGAGTTTGTTGTATCCTTCTTCGTTCGTCATGAGTGCGTCAATGTTCTCATAGTAAACCTTCACTTTGGATTTGACTTCGGAGAAGAATTTGTTGTAGTTGTCAAGGACTGCCTTTGCGAACTGAGGGTAAGACCAATGTTCGACAATAGGTTTTAATGTGGTTACTAAGCCACTTT